GGGCGCCCTGTCCTCGGCAGGCACGGGGCCGGCACCTGGGCAAGGCGCTGCCCGGGGGCTGTTCCCCACAGCGGTAGCGGCGGAGCGCCAGCGCGGCCTCAGGAGGGCTTGGTCCGGTGGCGCGGAGCCGCCACTCTCGGGACGTTCTTTGCTGCGGGCACGCAGGGGCGAGGGCAGCCCCTTCGACGGTGCCTTTGCAGCCGCAAGAGCAGGTCTGCACATGTCGCCCTGCCAGGACGGGGGTCCGGTCAGCCCGCCAAGCAGGAACTCCCCCCGGCCTTCTCTCCAGCGACCCTGAGGCAGACGGTGGCCTCTTGGCCCACGGTAGCGCAAGTGCTGCTCACAGCTGCGGGCACACGGGGCTAGTGACCTTCCCAGCCAGCTGCTGGCTTGGCACCACAACGTGCCTCCAGCTGAACCATTCTCACCCAAAATGGGAGGCCCCTGACTGCCTTTATCTTGGTGCTGCTCGACATGAAGCTGCAGGGGCTGGTACAAAGTGCAGCTGGTGGCCAGGGCTGTCCATACAGAGCTCATCCTGCATCTGTGCCTCACTTACTTGTGGCTGCAGAGCTTGGGCATGGTGTAAGCAGGTGCTTTTCCTGTCCACCTCAATGAGGGAGCTGGGTTTGGCAACCAGAGCTAGATTCAGGCTGTTACTGGTGAGTAGAAAGACAAACTTTTTTATTCTGGGAGGCCTGCAGGAGGAATTTGTATAATTACTTTGTGGACAGTGCTAAAAATATCAGGACTAAATGCTGTGCAATTAATACAGAGAAATTATGTCTCCCATTGTTCTTCCTTTAAGAAGTCATGCGCTGGTGCTCCAGGAAGGTTTATGCATGTATATTATATGCACCTACCATATGGCTGAAGTGAGGTTTATGACCAACAGGATTTACCTCATAAGAAAGGATTGTCATAGGAGTATGTAGGCACAAATTGTTCATAGGTTTAAGTCATTTTCAGGCAACTTTTCATCTGGATTTTCAAATGAATGCAGAATAAAACTGCTCTGAAAGTTAGTATCATCTAGGGTATGCTTTCCTTTTTCTTTTCAAAAACCACAGGTTTCTAAACAGAACCTCAACAGCATTCTGGAATTCAGCAAGCTTTGGTGCTCTTGGAAAAAATATATAAGCACTGCTGAGCCTACTAAATTAAAACATAACATACTAGTCTTGCAGATCACTAATTTCCTAGGTTGCCATTTTAAATTTTAATTTTTAATATTAAAAAAACCCCACCCAACATGAATCAAACTCCTCATGTGTTAAGGATATATGATGGGTAACATCTAAATAGAAAACTAAAACTAGAAGGTGCGGCATACCTGGGCTAATATCTGGTATCTAATTTCGATATACACCTTTAGTATTTTATCAGACAGTTTTTCATCATCACTGATTGTTCTTTTAAGAAAATGTTATAGAGAAGCCCCAGTTGTAAGCCTGAAAATAAGTACACCCTTGCATCAGGGTACCAGAGCTGATTTATTTAAAAGCATGAGAAATGTGTATCTTGAGATGGTATAACCTATGTTCCCAACAGAGCAATATATCCATGAGGATATATAGCATAATACAGCCATTATCCACTGGGTCCCTTTTACTCTGAAACAATGCTGTGTGTTTGCACAAGTTTAAAGCCAGTTATTCTTGTGACTCGTTCAGTTGTGCTCATATCACACCAGTAACAGTATTCCACTGTTATCAGTACCCTATGATAGCCAATGGTGAATTTTTTAACCATTATCAATACTTTTTCATGCAGTGGGAACTGAGCATCTGGCTTCCACTAGGCCTTCAGAATTAATTTGACAAGTCTGCCCTCTTCCCAGGCCCTGCTTTGAGGAATCCCGATGGTAGCCCTGCCTGGTGCTGCTTTTCCCAGGGTGCTCAGCTGGGCTGCCTGCAGAATGAGAAGTGGGGAAATGCACATTCTGGTGCTGATGGGGCAAAGTGCTCTGTTTTTGATAGTTGTTAGTATTTACAATAGTGATTTGCAGCTGGGAGATGAATAGGACCTCGCAGGGTTTTCTGCACAACCCCCAAACATTGTAAATGTGTTTCATTTGAGCTTAAACTCTGCAGGAATTTTAGACTACCCAGAAATGTGCCTGTAAGAAACAGCATTAAATGGAGGCTCAGTCAAGTCTCAGCTTTACATTCCCAAATGAGGCCTGCACACTCAGCATAGTGCTGGAATTTGCTGCCAAAATCACAGGTAACCTCAAAACTGTCATCAGCATTCCTGGATGCACATGCTGCTCCCTCCAGTCCCCAAGCAAAGCTACAGTTTGATTTATGTAAGTAACAGTGGTGGTAGGCAGGTGTTCCTGAGAAAGCAGAGAAAGCATCTGCTCTGTGTGTTTTTAATTAAATATTAGTAATCTTCCTCCTGAAGATTAGCTCGGCACTAGCGTTGCAGCAGCATCTCTGTGTTGCCTCTCTGGAGAGAACAGGAATTGTGCGTTCTGTCTGTGATGCTGCAAGAAGCTGTCACAAAGGATGGACTCACATCTTCCATCTTGGTTTTGTATCCCCTGCTTATGGCAAAAAGCACTAACAAGGATTATTTACATGAATACAAGGTTCAACAACAGTAAAAGGGGCAGGTTCTTTGCAGGCTGCCAAGTAATACAATTAAGCCAGAACCTATTTACATTAATTTCCATGTAATCCATGAAAGGAGTTTTGTTTAAATTTTCCACAAAATCTATCTTGAGGAAAAGCTTAAATATGGGTGTTTTCAACGCAGAAATGTTTTAGGAAGAAAGCAAATGTGAGTGACTTGAGGAAATCTGGTATCTGGTGCATCCTTGTTGCGTATCTCCAGGGGAAGCGAAGCACTCTGCAGTTTCACGCAGCCTTCCCCCAGGCTGCGGTCTGGGGGGGCTGCTGTGCCACGGCCCCTTCCCGTGGCAGCACCTGCCCCGGGAAACCCACCTTTGGGCTCCAAAGGCGGAGGAAGCAGAGTTTAAAGGAAAGTCGTCTGCCGCTCCTGGGAGCAGCGCTCGGGGGGTTCCGGCACAGCCGCTCTCCCTCCTGCTCCCGCTCGCCCGGGATTCCCCCGTGTCTAACCCCGCGCAGTGCCGACCGAGGGGGTTCTCCTCGAATTTTCAACGTTTTTCTGACAAAAAGGAACAAAGTGCCAGGGACGTTCCCCGCCTCACCGTGGCGCGAGGCTACGAGCACATCGCGCACCTCCCGGGCCGCGGCCGCTGCTGAGGCGAGTGTGAGCTTGTGCGGTGACCTAAAAATAACCAGACGGTTTTGTGTCGGACAACACACCTGTACTTATGCTTGGAGATAATAGTTCCATCCATATGTGTTTCCAGGATAGTGCAGTTGATTTTAGGGCACGCCCAGTTTAAAAGTCCTGAAATCCCGTTTGTAACTGCCGAGCAGCTCGAGGGGGAGCGGGGCTGGTGGTGCGGAGCGGGCGGCGGGTAAAGGGCGGCCCGAGAGCCCGCTGACAGCCTGTAATGGCCTTTGGGACCGCTTGGGTTTGGAGAATTTCTTATTATGCACTAATCATGTGGTTGATTAATAACGTGAAGTACTGGAGCAAACGCTTACAAAAAGTCAGTGATAATTGATCAGTGTATTTAAAGCCAGTTGGAATAACCGTTATTAATGGCAATGGGGGGACATTTTAAAGTTATCTTGAAAGTTCCTTTTTTGTTCTTTTATAGCCTTGTGTTTTGGCAGCTGCTGACATAGTATTTGTT